TGAGTTTTGGAAGTTGGGAATTATATGAGTATCCAATGCTACCTACCAAGAAAAGTCATGTATGAATAGTCAAAACTGCAAATCAACTGGAAAAATCACGTTATGTTATCTTAGCTTTCCAAATTAAACGAAACAATAATCCAACAGTTATTGCTAACGTATTCCATCATTGCAGCATCAGTTTGCAATGTTGTACGACATGTATGCCAATTTCTAGAAGGCATACTACGGTAAAGAGTCTGGAACTGATGCTAAAAAAATCTACCTTTATAAAACAAGTACCTCTCATTGTCATTGATTGCTCTAAACAAAATGAGACATTAAAGAACTCTACAGTGGACTCTTACGCTTGGTGTTTGAAACAAAGAAAAATATTTTTGAAGTAACTTCAGCGTATTGTCTCATTTTACATGATCACATCATTCAATACTATCCAATAAGTGGCGATATAAAGAAACTTATTCAGGGAATGGAGATCGTTGTATCAAACAGATGTCTCTTCTCTTAAGCAGCTTAGTAACAGCCAGAGTGGAGTACGTAGTGTATATGCAAGGTTTCATGATACCTGGCAAAACGTATGCCTTAAAGAAACTAGCGATACTTCCGCTTAACTGCGAGGAAGAACCACTCGTACGATTATTCATACTTCCATTTCCATGGCGAAGACTAATTGAAAAATGAAAGCATCATAATCTCTGGATGGAATTCTATTCTACTACCATGGATTAGAATGAGACTCTGGTAATTTCAAGTACAAGAGCATAAATTCTTCATCACAGACAAACTTCAAAGATGCCACGAATATTTCTGTTTCCGGAGATTTGAAAAAAAGAGCGGTTAGAATTATATGGCCTGAAAGCTTTCAACTTGAATGATTGGGACTATTCCCCTATTGAATATATGAAATCAATTATTGTGTGTCCTAATTTTAACGGTAAATACGTAACGACATGCGTATATCAAAACGTCAAATTTATGAAAAAGTTTTACATAAATGGTTGTTGCATGGACTGGGAAGAGAACGATGAAATTATTGAAGAATTTCTATAAGTATTCGTTGAATAAATGACTTATAGAATAAGACTTATTTTTTATCAATAAAAAAATGTATATATTTACTATTCACCCGCCCATTCTCCCGCACCACTATTTCATCAATAATCAGTGCATACATGGATACGTGCATGCATGCATACGTCGTGATTAATTGTGCATACAATATAAATGAATATATATATATGCATATATATATGTATGAAAACAATATATATGAATATATATGCATTCAAGCATATATAAATGATGATATAAGTGATCGTAAAACGCATACACATGGATTAACTGAGGGGACGCGCGAGGACGCTTTGACTAGTCGCTTTGACTGTAGCTAATATTAGTAACTAATATTAGTAGCTAATATACACAGTAAGAACTGTCAAGAGCTAAAAGCAGCCGTGGCTTAGTTGTTTGAGGCTACGGTCTATCGATCCATAAGACGCGAATTCAATTCCTCGTAGTGTCTGCTCATTTTTTTCGCTGAGCTATATCTGCATTACATATACACATAAGTAAATTATATAAATAAATTAAATTCAATTACATATAAATAAATTTTAATATTTAAAACGTATTTATGATTGGCGGGTGAGGGGGAGGGGCCGGGGCTCTCGCGCGTGATCTAAGAGTGCTGATCTGATAGCTCATGCACTTCAGATCACTGATCTGGGGCCCCGCCTGATCTAAGGCCCCCTGATCTGTGGCCTCTCTAGTGTATCTACTTCAAATCAATTAGAAAAGCCTCGCTATGCCATTTTAGACTTTCAAATTAAACGAAAAAGTTTAGAGACTGCTGATGCTGGTAAATTTAATCACTGTAATATCAGTAATGTAAAACTATTTCTCAATTCTCAATGCTATCCATATGGTCATTTTAACTTGTTCATTCAGAAAAAAATCAGTATGCAGTATATTATGACATGTATGTTAATTTCCCAAAGGCTTACTATGAGAATGAAAATGCGCTATTGCTCAACAAGAATGATTTTATAAATAACATTCCTCTAATAGTTATTGAATGTTCGAAACAAAATGAATCAATCAAGACAGTACCTGTATATATACGACTTAAATTTGAGACTATAGATAATTTTCCTGACATTACTGGTGCCTATTGTTTAATTCTACGTGATCGAATCGTGGAATATAATTCAATCAGCGGTGATGTGAGAAAATTAATTTATTATAATACTAATGAAAAAATCATTTAAAAACAAAATTTATAATGTAGTACCAATTGTTTTTTTTTGTATTAAATTATACTAATAAACGGAAGTTCAATAAAAAAATTACTATTCTTCATTAGAGCTACATTATCCTCTTCATCAGCTATTACGGTGTGCGCATACTCCCTCTACTATTTATAGCTATAGCTTGTTCAAGAAGAGAGAGAGAAAGAGAAGCACTCACACTACTGGGAACGCGCCTAGCCAGCATATGTTTAGTAAGCTGAAAACGCTACCACCTCTCCATAACGAGCTCACCTCAAACGCTAGAGATGCTACCCTCTCTCCGAGGGTCCACCACGCCAAGCCAGCATATAGCTAACCAAGTATCCTAACAATTTCTACAGTGTCTTAGCTTAACAATCTCTATAGAAGGAACCTACCTTGACAATTGATATATTACAATTTATTATTTTATTATTTACTATTAAAGGGAGGAGGGGCTCTCGGGGGTCGCGATTAGGTCAAAGAAGGACTCCGGGGGAGTGTTGAGAGATACCATCCATTCTCTGACCACCGATAACGTATGCGCAACGCGCGCGCATATGCAAACCCCTATATACGTTTCAAGCCAGCTGGAACGCCCACGATGTAGCTTGAAACATATATTGCTTATCTACTACAACCTATCAAGTACCTGTCTACCTCGGATCACTATCTGACGTTGAGACTACGGATAATACGAGACAGATTGTTGACAGCGGGAGTTGCACAGGGCTTTTGAAACTTTGAAGGTTGTAAGAGGGGTCAGCCACCGTGCGCCTTGGGCTGGTCTCTGCTAAATTTTCTGGGTTCTTTCTCGATAAAGAAAGCCGGCGCTGACTTTCACAGGCTGAAGTTCGCTCTGGTTGGGAAGGTTGATACAAATAATCGGACACGTTAATTCAATTATACTACATATGGCGATCACATTTATTGACGCCTTTTCACAAATATCACTACAAGATTTACTTCACCGCGGTGAGCGCGCTCGCTCAACCTTTCCGCGACCAGAGTTCGCGGGATCACGCGAGCGAGATCGCTCAGCGTGCGCGATAAAATCAAAATAGGCTAATGTCTGTAATCGAGCAAGAGCTGGCGCGAGAGAGATTAACTGGCTTTGGACCCACCGGATGCCGACGGTCCGTCGACAGAGAGGCGACGCCGGCGAAAGCGTAGTCCCGCAGAAAACGGTGCCCTGGCGACGATGGAAGCCGCTGCAGGAGGGGCCGCAGCACGGCCTTTGCTTCGTAGACGGCGAATGGTCGCTGCGTATACTGGCTCTGCTTCGGACAACTGGCTTCCTGGCAAACGTGGCAGTCGCACCAATGGCCAAAATGCTTCCTTCTGGCCAAAATCTCGCTTCATCCAGTCTTCTCCTAGGCGGCCCTAATTACTCGAGAGCTCGCGCCTAACTGCCCTTCCTCTCTCTTAATTTCTCTGCCTCGCGCCGCAGCTCTCCCACTTCTCTCGCCGTCAAAAATCAGTCAAAATCGCTCTCTCTCTCTCGCTCTTCTCGCTCTCACTCGCACTCACGGCGACACCTCCTCTCTCCATATCCTGCAACGACACAAGTATGTAGTCGCTATATAGCGTACACTTGGTCGCTGCGTTCACGCGAGGAGAGTGCCGCACACAGGGCTAGCGAACATCGCTATAACCCTGTCACAAGGTAAAAAAATAAACGAAAGTTTTGACAAGCATACAACGACTTGAAGAGTTAAGAGTCGCGTACGTACACCAGACGATATCTGAGAATACGATTTTTGTGATTGCGGGCGTAATTCCGATCGATTTTTTTCTCTTTGAAATAAAATGGATATACATACAAAATGCGAACTTCAGATGGGCTGATGTTTTGATGCAAGAAAGGATGAGGACATTACAAAAATGGTAGACTAAATGGACAACGAACGGACAAGAACATTGGACACACAGAATAAAACGGGAGGTTGAATCTCGATAAGACAGAAAAAGTAAACTTCTCTATTATCCAACTTTTATCTAAATGAGAGTGCTTCGAAAAGTATCTCTTCAGAATGAATAGGATGACGACGCCGGATTGTATTTACTGCCAACATGCCTGAGATGAGGTGAAACACACGTTCTTCGCATGTAACCGTTTTGCTAAAAAAACTATTAGAAAGTTTACGTTAAAGAAGTAATCTCAAAAGTTTTTACTTTTATTAAACTACAACTTTCAAAATATGAGCTAGTTGAACGGATGAAACACTTTGTTTACTGCGCAAGCTTTTTTTCAGAAACGTTTAGAACGAGAACGTTTTTACTATCCAAGTTAGTCCACTAGAAGAGCTTTTTGAGTTCTTCATTCAATTTCCAAAGATAAATTTTTATTTATTGATACAGTAAAGGAAAGTGTATTCATGTACGCTACGTTATAATTAATAATTTCACATTGTTCAATAATACAAATTCCTAGTATGTCACCGTCTACCTAAAATCTATTCTATATTTCGAATTTGAATGGAACTATCAGTTAAGCTTCGCGCAATTTCAGATTCTAGCATATAGGCTAGTTATTAATAAGAGCAACGAGATGATATTTGTTTTCGCAACGTTAGTTAGTTGAACATATAGGATTATATTACGAATAATTTATCTTGTTATTTATATGATAAAATAGCTACAATAACTTGTAAAATAGTAATTTTAGGTACATACATAGTTTTCATAAATTAATGATACAAAATCAATATTCGTAACAAATAAAATACTTACGTTAGTAATTGAGCAGTATCATGCGTAGTTTGAAACATTCTCGTTTTATAATCATCAAAATTCAACAAAGCTCGACTAATATCAGTATTCTTATCAACGGTTATTTGATTGCCACCTTGCCATGTTTCAATGTATACAACTGAGACTCTTGTATTCAAAGTACGAAAATACTGTAATAATATAACAATTTATATTCATCAAACACTATGGATATACTTTTTTACAATATATATGGGTGTGTGTATACATACTTAAAAATAAATCTTAATAACTAAAAAATTCATGAAATAAACACTTAAAAGAGAATAAGTCTATTTTTAAAATCTGACTAAAATACTATTGTCACGAGTTGTGTATAGCCGAAACGTTCGACTAGCACCAACACATAATGTCAACAAGTGCTTATACATAGTCCGATATCTTTCTCACCAATGCAAAAATCGAGAGGAAGCAGCAACGCGGCAGTTAGTGTTTCCGGAGACGGCACGATATATCGTCGGCCTGATTAATGCTGAATCGTAAGCCTTGTACCAAATTTTCGAGCAAGCTTTCAGCCAAATCAAAATTCATGAAAATTAAAGATATAAATACTATGGCACACAACATGCAGAATCAGATACAGTACACTCTATCAGTACGTTCAGTCAGATTCACAAAGTACATTAATTCACACGATTCAGTCAGATTTACTCACAAGTAAATTTCCACAGTTATCCTTCTCCGACTTCAATAATACTGAAATATAGTTATACTTGTAGTATACCAAAAAATAACAGATACTTATTTTTTTTATTTGCTGATATGTATTTAAGAGAGTGGAAACGATCCTCGAAAGTTACCCTCAAAGTTAATTTTTTTCCATTATCTTCAATTCTATTTGATGTTAGTGTATATCCGTCGATAAAAAAATACGTGTGTATTATTTTTTAATATACTACAACTTTACTCAGTATTACTGAACTTGGGGGCGGACACCTAGGGTACTTTCCTTATTATTGTAGTAAAACATAGTCAAATACTCTTTATTACACATATTTATTTACACTTAACTCAAGAATGAATCAAGAACATAGGAGCCACACGCGCGCCGTGTTACTTTCAATCTGCGTAACTTAGTATTTAGACTCAGGAATATCTTTTTTCCGAGTATCATAGCTGAAGCTAGACTAACTCATGTGACGCGTCCAATTAAATCGTTTAGCGCGAATATTAGCGAGCGGCTATCGATTCAATGAGTAGCGCTATCTCTCTCTGTCTCTCTCTCTCTTTTTTTGGAGGAATAATAAATATATTCCATCTACTAACAATTAATTATTTTATCCCGTTTTCGTGATTATATCTTCATTGCGAAGCGAATTAAGAAACAAAAACTTCCAACCCATGACATACGTAAATAAATTTCTGGTACTAGGTTTGGAGTTTTTTAGTGAAAGAATTGGGATATGTTATGCCTTGTTATTGTGTTTTGATTAATGTGACAGCGCAAATAGCGAATTGTTCAAGGAATGCAGTGTAGAGGCGGCAAAGATAGAAAAAATGTCGTAAAGAATGTTACGCAAAATTCAACCGTAAATAACGAGAGACGTTGGTTATCATAACCTATCGCTGAGTTTAACGGATTCCGTAGTTTCGGGCATAATGGATTTATTTGACTGATTTTGAAGTTCTTATCAGTCTCTGCACCTCAGCTTCTTTATTGTTGTAGATTAAGTGTGGTTTCTCCTATATGCGATAACGGTTGCACGTATGTATCATTCACAGCCACTCACGCTCAACACAAGTTCGTTGAGAGATTTGCGGAATAAACAACAATTGTAAAATAAATCTATTCGGAGCTACTAGTTGCACTTGAGTAGTTAGAAGTGCTTATTTCTCAAGAGAAAGATAACAAAAAGATAAACTAGGAACTTAACTAGTTATTGAAATAGAGTTGTACAATTTAGACGCGATCCCCGAGATGGACTGACTATCGTTGACAAAGAATGCCTCGCAAGAGCGCTAATTTTCTCGTCTTGGCTCATCGTGAGTGGAGGTAGTGCGCTTCGTTCTTGTCAACTTTTGTGCAGGTGGAATCGTTTCACGTCTAGATCGCGCTCACAAATCAATTATGATTTTCACTTCATTACCTAATTTTGTCTGCCTTTGCCACTTGACTCTATGAGAGGAATTTTTTGAGAACTCTTACACAGTCATTAACAAATACATACAAATTTACGGTGTCCTTATGTCAACCCTACCTATGTCAGCCTTCTCGGGACATAACAGGATATATAGACATTTTGCTCTCATATAATACTAAAGCCATTATACAGACTAACTTATTTATCTTGTCATTAGAGAATTCTACTCGGTTTACTCCTATCGTCTATCGACGAAAATTCATAGTAATCACCGCTCACGAGATACTCAAAAACTTTCACAAAACAAAAGATCCAATTCATGGGTTAATAGGTTCAAGGTTAGTTTAATAATTAATAGGCTGCGAGTTTGATTTTATTTATTAAGTGAGCAATCACAACATCAATGCCGACGCAATTGCATGCAATCCAGTCATAGTCGAAGGGGAGAACAATTCCGAATGACTACGTGTAGCATTACATGAGCTTGCCAACAACCTAGAAAGTTCAGGATGAGTTCATTGCTCGTCGGTGAGAGCTTGTTTTCTCACAAATTTAACAAAGAGAACTCGCGAAAGGGACAAGAAACAGTTCAGGACCGCGAACTCTGGAAAGTCATGTGAGTGAAAACGGAAAAACACACTTACTAGCGATATTTTCAACTCCAAAGAAAGTTCAGAATGTCGAGTAAAGGAACGAAGAACGAAGTCTAAACTCAACGAAAGAAGAAGATATTTATCAAAAAAACCCTTCAGATTAAAGTGCCTAGTCAGTGAACCTATTAACCCTCTATAATCTAATGAAACTATTACAAGCCAATAATAAAGGCAACCGATAGCTCATGAATACCGGGAAAGGCTCATGCTTGAGTTACAGTATCATGTCATATTACAGTAATAAACTATAATAAAGCATCGACTTTGTACAAGAAGCCGCCTACATATTGAAAATGGTAGATTATCTACCAGTTTTGGTAAAACGATTGACAACGAAGAAACAAATGACAAAAATCCAGTTACAAATCAAAAATTACTAATGAAAAATGCAGATCAAAATATTAACCAGTAATCGAAAGCATGGCCATTACCATGCCAATTTTCACATGTCATCAAATGTTACTTATCTGTTCTCATAGAAATAGCGGTACTGCTACCGAATGAAGAAAGAAAATCACCATATGTCACCAATATCGAGCGACTGATGCAAGAAGAAAGATCATCATTTTGTAATGGACTTTCATGAAATAGCTTAGGAATAAACAACGAAGTTATGAAGTCTATATTTCAAGGTATAAAAAAATCAAGGCTTATAAGGTTGACATCGAATCATGATACTATGATTATATGGTTTTATGGTTTGATAGTACTTTAGCAAGATATATTTGTGTTTCCACTTTGCATTCTTTATACACTAATAAAATATAAAATTATCTTTGGCCAGAGATGTTTTCACACAACTATATGTAAAATCTTACAAAATGCCAGTAAAATCAGATGATAAGTATTGTGATGATGCGTCATCACACAAAAATATATATTACCGGCACTTGCGGCAGAACAGCCACGACCGCATACACCCGCCCACGCACCTCCGAATCTCGCGAACTATGGCCTCTAGAAGTTTCCCTGACCGATTCGCACGACCCTTACGCTCGCGTACAACCCCTCGCGCACTCACGACCTGATCCGACACTCCCCCGGGGAGCTAGAAGCTCTTAAAGTTTCCAGCCGCGATCAGCTGATCGCAAGCCCCCGTTAACTAAGGCAGACCTAGTTAGACTAGAAGTAGGAGCGACCGAGCGCGTGAGAGCGAGCGAGACCGCCGACGCTAGACCGATCGGAAGCGAGCGAGGGGAATCGGTAAGACCAACGAGCGGTGGATAGAAGAGGATAGACAAGCGACGCTAGTTGACCGGCCAATCGTTATCAGCTTAGGGGTGGTCGGACTAATGAGTGAAAACCGACGCTATCTTCGCGACTAGTAGGCAAATTAGGCGCGAAGGACCGACCAATAAACAAATTGCGCGGGCAAAAAGTATTAAAATAGACGGCGCTGAGACCCGGCTTAGCAACAAGCCGGCTAATCAACACTAACTAAGGGGAAGTAAACCAGGAGAAGCGGCGCGTCGCCGAAAAACGGCGCGCCAGTGACCGTTAAGCCTCGACGGTGAGTTCGACATACCCGTTGAGCCTCGATGATGCGCGGCACCCGCAAGTAGACAAAGGAAATAGGAAACAGATAGGAATAGATAAGCGAAATAGTAAGAAATAAGAAAGTGCAGAAATAGATAAGCGAAATAGTAAGAAGTAGGAAAGTGCAGAAATAGATAAGCGAAGTAGAAAGTAGAAAAGTGCAGAAATAGATAAGTGAAGTAGAAAGAAAAGAAAGTGCAGAAATAGATAAGTGAAGTAGAAAGAAAAGAAAGTGCAGAAATAGATAAGTGAAGTAAAGAAAAGAAAAATAGATAAGTGAAATAGAGGAAAACAGATAGGAACGCAGGAATAGAAAATAGAGATAAAGCAGTATAACTGCGGCAGCAATAGGCCCGCCGACCACAAACAATCCCCTCAGCAGAGGTCATAATTATTCTGTGGAGACGATCAAGTGAGTACACCCTTCTTTTATGTATACCGTGTGTTGCCCGTCCTCATCCTCGGGAGTGCCGTTAGACCTTCGCGCGTCGGAGTGATCCTCTTATACATTTTCACCGTTGACCTTTCGAGTGATTCCCCGCTGTCGCACCGTTATGTTGTCCGTTATCGAAAGACAAGTTTTCGCGCGCGCATCTACGTGCTGTAAGATCCTCGCTTAACCTAAATAAATCCTTGATTGGAAGCGGGTTTTTCCGTCAAGTCGCGTGACCGCCGAGCGTCCGCGTCCTCGCGAGTGCCGCATGACCTTCGCGCGCCCGATACGATTTCGCGAGCACGCACCTTGCAGTAGAACTCTCAGACACCGTTTCTAATCTGCTACATTGCGCGTTGCTTGACCGACAAACTTCCCGCGCGTGTGCGTATCCTCACATCCTCCGCGCGCACGCCGGTTGACCGCCG